TGTCACAAAGCATATGAAAATTTCTACAAAGACAACCCATTCCTACACATTACTTGCCGGCAATGCTTAGATTAATCCTCAAAGAAAATTTCTTCCACTTCAATGGAAAGCACTACCTACAAAACCATGGAACTGCAATTAATGGGCACAAACTAAGACAGCAGTTTTGATTCCTTTGCCAATATTTTCATGACATATATTGAAACAACAACTCTTGGCAAAACTGTCTTTAGATCAACAGTTTGGAAAAGCTACATACACGATATCTTTTCCCTATGGGACATGAGTAAACCAGACATCGAAGCCTTCATTGAACAAGTAAACTTACATCACCCAACTATTGAATTCACGGCCGAAACATTTGACACTGAGACTGCGTTTTTAGACACAGTTGTATACAAAGGCCGAGATTCAAGAAAAAATCTATACTTGATGCAAAGACACAAAAAAACTCATCAGAAACCACCTTTGATGGACGGAGGCTACCCACAATCTTTTAAAGAAAACCTACTATCAGAAATAAAATTCACAGAAGGGAGTCTAAACTGCTACAACAAAACAACAGGCAGGAAAAAGAAACATTGCCATTCATGACACAATACCAGCCCTCAGTGTCTACTATAAAGGAAGCTTGAATGAAAAAAATGGAATCTGATACAAAACCAACTATAACTTCAATAAATTTTTAAAGAACCACCAATCATTTCCTTACAAAACAGGAAAATCATTAAAGGACATGCTCGTTAGAGCCAAAAAAAGGTTAACAGAGGGTTCCAAGCCTGTATAGATGTGCGGCCTGTCACCCTTTGTATTTTCTCGAACAACAGGTTTGTAAGTATTTTAGCAATAACTCCAGCTGGCTGTGTTTTATATAACAAGTGTAGTCAACTGTCTCGTTAGTAGTTAGTGCCTATCTATGTAATAAAATAGGGTGACCCACCCCCTAAGGGCAGCTGAAAATTGCACAACCCACCCCTTGCACAAGGCTCAAAACCTCATGACCCACCCCCTCTCTGCTCCGGCCCATCCCCCCTATACTTTTTGACCAGTCACTTAACGCATTGGCGATTGTTCGCCATATTTGCCATTTTGGCCAAAATCGCCACACTCAAAGGGGACCCTTAGGCTCCATGCATATAATAACATTCGCCTCACTTCGTCGAGAGTTGGCCATATACTCCAAAATCGCCATGTTGGTCAAAATCGCCTCTTTCGAAGCGCCCCATTTGCTTCGTCATAACATGTTCGTCAAAGTTTGGCGAATTTTCGCCAATGCATACATTTCTGGACATATCTCTCGCACCCATGCGTGAAGGTACTTTTTTAAGATTAGCCAGAAATATGAACATTAAGACTACTTTTTCACATTCTTTCGTTCATTTAAAATAATACTTTTCCTCTTCGAGTTAAATTTAATGTTGTTGTTTTGTTTCTTAGCCGGTGGGATTCTTCTTTTCTACTATAGACAGCTAGGTAGAAGTACGAGAGGAAGAATAAACGAAGAACTCAGACAAACGAGTAAAGTGACTTTTTGCGCTTTCGAAAAGTCAGAACTGGCCGGCCAGACCGGTTAATTTGAAAATGAAATATTAGCCTTCCACTAAAACCCATCACATCCGTGCAAACCATTTAGGAATAAACTGATCTGGATTTGTCTGTCTGATTTCCCTTACCTTCTCTGACGACTTCAAATCGGTTTGATTTCATACAAGTATTTCGACGAGCTTCGATGCCAAAGGAGAAGCAAATTAAAACAGCAAGCACCAAAGGACACATGTTATAGAGAGAAGCAAAGCTTCCTGTTTTTGAAAGAAGGCTTCCTTGAATGGTTAAAGAATGAGAAGACGCACCTCAGTGAAGTGTAATTTCTTTTTTCTTCAAAGGTGCGAAGCGATTCTTGCGCACTACTCAATGATTATTTTACCAATTAACAAGTAACAAAGACGGGGGAGCTCTACACCTGCCCCAAAAAACATTAGCTGTGTCATTA